TCTCTCTCTCTCTCTCTCTCTGTCTCTATTTCTTCTCTATAGGTGCAGAATAGAATGGACTAGAACAGAACAGACCAGAACAGACTAGAAGTTTGTGAGTGTTTGTGGGGGGGTTTTCAGATTATTATGGGTCCGCAAACGTGTGTGTGAGTCTATACGTGGATCAATTTGGGCAATTAAGCATCTAATGCCTGTTTACGTGTATACTAGTTCCTATTCTAAGTTACGATCGCTTGTTTGGTATCTATTTCAGTCAGGAACAAAATTAAAGATACGAAAATTAAAATGTCTCATCTAAATCTATTTAACAGCTAGAGTCACCTGCCGGAGAGCTTGGGTCAGGGGGATGCCATGAGTTGTTAGTGTTCCCCTGACTCCATCTATCCAGGTCTTTCTCGGTCGCCCTCTAGCCTTGTTGCCATTGATTTTTTTTATGTGATGAAATGTCCAGGTTGTTCCATTTGTACCAAGAGCCTGCAACTTTTCACGGTGACCCGGATTCTCCTTCACGGCAAGCGTGACGCCTCAGTGGCATAAAGTCACACCGTACTTCGTTAAACCCAGCAATCCCCTACTTTTTCCAGTTTCCGCCTCCCGGAACGTGGATCTGGGGTTGGGCTTTGGATGGGAGGCCTTGTTTGGCGCTAGAGCAAAACGTTTGGGTTTTTTTTTTAAAGTGAGTTTTCGACAATGAAAATACGAGAAGCACGGTTCAATACTGCAATTGTGTTGTGTCAGCGCGGTAAACTTCTCTTATTTATTTGTATTGTCCACGACCCTTCTAACAAAACTGTTAGCCAACAATGATTATTGTTTAGTCGGGATGCTAAAGATCTAGCGTTCTTACAGCTTCCCTGCATCGGCGGTGTCTAAGGTATAGCAGGAGACTCGAGTTCGATTCCCTAGTAGGGAGAAATTTTTAGCAAGAGTCTTGGTTTTGCTGCTGAGATGTTGTGTTGTCTCACCCCGGGTTTAGCCTTGACAGACAGGCTCGAAAGTCAACTTCCTAAATTACCTGAAAAGTGTTGATGGAGGCATAAAACCACCTATATTTAGTAAAAATCTGCGCTGCCTCAAACAACACATTTTTGTAGGATATGGTCAGAACGGGTTCAACGTCACACCACAGACTCCGGTGACCTGGGCTCGACTCCCTAAGAAATGTGTTGGCAACAAGACATATTTTTACAATTACCACTCGATCTATATCGTCTTTTTTATCGCCCCAGTCGCCATATTTGACAGAAGAGTTCCTGGCGCGTCGAGAATCTAACGCTCTAAGAGCCCGAGAGCAGAGCTCTGATCGACATTGGCATCGTTTCCGTCTCCTTTTTTTCGTTTTGGGTCTTCATTTTGTCTCGACTCTCTGGATCTTTCCAGACAAGCTTCTGATCGTCATGCGTTTTAGATTTTTTTCATTCTTTTTTTGTTTGGGTTTTTCTTCTTTTTTTTTTTTTAGCTTTCTCAATCATCCTGACCTTACGCAAGTCTCTCGCTCCCCCTGCTGGGACAATGATTTCTTTGAGGTTTCGCTCAGAAAGCATTTGAGCAATTCTTCCGCCCCACGGTATAGTGATGTATCTGACAAAAATGGATATTTTTATAGTGTTATACGTTTGTTACACTTGTCTTGCCAATATCCTTCTAGGATACGGCAGGCAAAGGCGGGATGATGTATCTACAACCTAAATAATAGTTTGCAAAGTTGCGAAGCTAATCAAGGGACTGTTCTCAAGCATTCGCGTCAAAAGTTTTGTTTTCGATTTTGTTATTGTTTTGTTGTTGTTTTTTATTTTGTTTTGTTGATTTTTGGTTGTTGTTTTTTTTTTTGAGTGAGGGGAGGGAGTTGTTTTTGTTTGTTTGTTGGTGATGTTTTCGTTGGGTTATTTTTGTTTGCTTGTTTGTTTTGTTTTTGTTTTTTTACTGCCTTTTTCCTTAAGTCAAGGAATGTGCAGTTACGTCGATCTTCCTTTGAACAGCAGGATAGCATTTGTTTTATAGGGCATTTCCGTGCTATTTGGTCCCATACGAAGAATATCTTAAGCAAATGTTCTGGTATTGGAGAGTCCGGCAGGGTGTTGGGTGACTGAGTACATTATGCCAGGGAAAATTAGGGGAAATGTATAGAGATTGGGAAAGAATTTCTAAGATAACGAAAGTAGGTGGGTCTAAGAGTACAATATGCTTGTGTGGCGCTGCACGAAATTGATGACGACATTTCCCTGTTATTTCCTACGTCATCCAGCAAGGGCATTGCTCTGGGAACAGATAATGTTTGAATGTTGTTTGTAGTTTTATATTATCTCTCTCTCTCTCTTTCTCTTTCTTTCTCTCTCTCTCTCTCTCTCTCTCTCTCTCTCTCTCTCTCTCTCTGTCTGTCTTTTCTCTCTCTTTGTCTCTACCTGACTCTCTCTCTCTCTCTCTCTTTCTCTTTCTTTCTCTCTCT